AGGTACATCAGTAGATTCAGTGTGTACCCTTCTTTAGGGGAAGATTATATATGGTTTTCAAAGCCGTCAATATCATGTTTGTTGATATAGTTGATAGTAATGGTACTTTAATACATCGCTGTCAATATCATGTCGATATGAGGGCCTGAGTATATTTCCCCACATATGTAGTCACCCTTCTTAATTACCATATGAAAACCCTTTTCTCTTTGATTGACATGAGATGTAGATTATCAGTAATGGGAAGCTGAAAAGTGTTGAACATTGGGCGGTGACGAGTTCAAGCCATTCCAGGACATCTACTGCATTTTTCATCGCGCCTTCAGACGATTGCATTGTAGAACCTGCGGAAGCTCTTATTAGTGCAAGCAATCCACAGCACTATAAACCCTTTCAATACAAAGAGTTCTTTATCAACTATCTTATGAAGCAGGGTAAAACAGAAGTTTTACTAGAAACGTTTAAGCTCCAAGCTTAGTTGATCATCATGCACGAATTATAGTTTTGTATTGTTTTCATTTGAATAACTTGCTTTCTCATTGCTCTATGTGGGTGATAAAACTTGAACAACTGGTTCAAATTTATTTTGGTGTTGGTTCATAAATATTGTAAAATAATTGCCAAGTGCAATACTTTTTATTGGAAAGTTTGATCACAATAATTCTAGTTGGGGAGTTTTCTGGGATTGCAGGCAGAGAAAAACGCTAGCATCTGCTTTATATGTGTTGAATTCCAACATAATGTCAAAATCTTAATCAACTCCATATCATGTATAGATATTTGAAATCGATTACATAAGATAACAAGTAAATTTTTATTCATAACTATCAGCTTCTTGTAACTACCATAACAGAAAAATTATGTCTTAAAAAGTAACATAATAATAGGATTGCCAAACAAAGAAAATACAACAAATTAAACTCTCAACTTCGAATTACGCTTAACTCAAACTCCATCCTTGTCATGGTAGCCTAATATTCCTTCCTTACTCAATTTGCTTCTTCATTGAAGCTTTTATTCAAATCAAGCTTTCTTAGGATCAGCTCCATTATTACAAGGTCGGTACTTTTTTGGTGCTCGTGGCCATGGGGTATCTTCTGGTCGCATTAATCTACTTCCTTTAGTTGTTGGGGTTGTTGCACTTACTTCGGACATCTTGATCACTGAAATAAGTTAAAGCGTACACTACTTTGCAACGAACACACACAAGGCCATTGGAAGAAGCCTAAAGCCAAGTACTCAAGGAAATTATACGTTGATGTGTTGAGAATACTAGGCCCTAGATTTATACTCTTTGTCATAGGCTTGTTTCCTTTCCCAAAAATAAATGAAATCCTAAATAGGCCCAGCACATTTAAAGCTTTTCAAACCATAAAAGGAATATAGCTTCATCCTAGAAAGAAAGGGAGCCAACCTCCCTCAAGGCAAAGTTAAGTCGGATAACGCGGGGGGTACAACAAACGCAAAACTCAATAATAAAACACTGTTATAGGAAAATAGAAAAGAAAAATAAATTCGCTTTATCATTTTTTCTGTCCCTTAAAAGAATAAACATATATAGTATAAATTGCATCGTATCACATACAAAAAATGTGTAAAAAAGAAATACATTATCAAATAAAGAATTTCTTCAATCATTTATATTATATTCTGTCAAACTCATATACATTGATAAGCTAATACACAATTTTTTTACAACTTACACAACTTATTAAGCTAAAACGAAAAACCAACAGTTAGGTCTTTCCTTAATTATTCATTAGAAAGAATATAAAATTAATTGCATATTATTTGCAAAAAAAAAATAATAATTCTTTGGTTGATGGTTAAAATTTGATATATGGATCGATGTGGCCCTCTTTGCAGGATAAACTCGTCGACATCATTTTTCATGTGAGTATTGTACTCATCATTTGGCCATGACAAGCAAGAATCCTGCCTTTGTAGAGTCTTATTAATTGGTTACAACTTCAAGGGTTGGTCGGATTTGAACCACAGGGTGGGGCGGAACCCTTCTGCAGTACTTGCCTGATAATCAAATTCATAGGGAAGTTGTATTTGACAGTAGTACCCCTATCCCTAATTTGCAGAACATCCTCCTTCATCATCATGAGTTTATCTTTCCCCTACAAAACTCTACAGGCCTCGTGTGAGTGCATGTTCACAAGAAACACCACTACCATGGCCACCAAAAGCATATTCAAAAACTTCATGTTGTTTCTTGTTTGGCAATTAAAAATTTTTCTTTTTTCTTTCTTCTTTCTTTCTCTGTATGCAACGCAAACAAGAGATGGAGAATGAATGAATGAATTATAGAGGACTATAGAGCTTTCTATATATATGGACCAACCTATATTATGAGTTGAATTTTCCAATCATATTTTATGAAGCTATTCTTTGTTTTGACTATTGTGTCAAAAGGTCAGATATTGAATGAGAATCATACAATTACGAGAAGAAACTGAGTTTAAAAAAAAAAAATTTATATATATATGTAAAATCACCTCAGAAAATTCCATATAGATTGTATTTAACTATATATACATGGAATATCTCGCAATATTATATGGAATAAGGTAATATTAATTAATTAACGTAGTGATAAAGTTGAGTTTTGATCAATTCATTTGCTTGCTTTGCAAACTGAGAGCTGAGAAGTAAGGCTTGACGGGGAAGCATTAACTACGATTTGAAAGTTTGAACGTTTGTAGTATTGGATGTGTGCTAACCTTTTACACGACATGGATTACTCTGAAAAAAAAAAAATTGAATTTCATGGTATACGACTGAAAGTCCCATTTGACTGGAATATATCATGCATGATGTGTAGAATGATTGTCTTAATTAGGTTAAATACTCCCTCTTTGTATGAACACTATTCTTTAATTACTACTTTATATCTTCATTTATGTATAAGGGTTTAGGAGATTTCTCATAGAAACATATTAAGCTCAGGATGCAGTAGTAAGCAATTTTTTAGTGTAATTAACGGTCACACGTGACACGTGTATAATAGAGTGGACATCATAGTTGATATATCATACACTAGGATATAATATTTATAGATAAATACACGCATGTTAACACAAGTGAATTAATAACAATACATAACAGTGTGACAGTCACAACGTAAAATCTCCAAGGACTGCAACTAACAGCCGATACCAATTAAGTTTTTAATAGTTGGATGATCGACAGCACAAGGTTTGGTTTTGATATCTTTGTACCCGAAATTTGATACTGCAGCGCAGTCTTAAAAAAAAGTTCTTAAGTATCAAAACTTCTGCATGCATGTTATAACCATAAACCCTAAACCATGTATTATTGGACCCTGTTATATACCCTATATAATTGAGCAAATACTCAAAGTTTGTGAGGCATTATTTTTTTGTTTTTTTTCAGGTTACATTATAGACTTTCAACTTTCAATTACTATGTTTTGTGTCATCTCTGGTTAACTAATACTATATACATGTAATCTAATATCCTAGTGGACATAGTGTTGACTGTTCACCCACGCATCTCAACCGATTTAGAAATTTTTCCTTCCTTAAATTATTGTAGTAGTTTCGAACTATTGTCTAATTTTTTCTAAAAAAAGTTAACTAATATTACATGACGCAGGGTAAACAAACCCTGGAATATCAGAAAATTTTGTTCAAGGAGTTCTTTCAGATGTCTGCATGTAGAAGAACACAATTACCAAATTGGTCTCTACAAATTAGATATCAGTAAGTAAGAGGCGCCAGGCAGTTCCATGCCATGGTACCAAACATTACCACGACAAATAATTGAATTCCAACATATATACTATGCAAAAATAATTTTAATCAACTTCGGAGTTTCCCTTACATGTATAGATATGTCAAACCCATCATATAAAACAACAAGTAAATCTTTATTCAAAACTATTATCAGTTCCTCTTACATGCATACCCATAATAAGCTACCAAAAAGAAATATTATTTCATAAAAGTAACATAACGAATGATTAACATAATGAATGAAACTCCTAAGTTATAAATAACCTTGACCTAAAACACCATCCATGCCCTATATTATTTCTTAACTCAATTTGCGTACTTCATTGAAAATTTTATTCAAATCACGTTTTGGGGCTTTCTTAGGATCAACTTCATTATTATGAGGTCGGTACTTTTTTGGTGCTGACGGGCATGGCACATCTTCCGGTCGCATTAATATGCTTTCTTTAGTTGTTGGGGTTGTTGAACCTACTTCAGACATCTTGATCACTAAAATCGACTAAAGTGTACACTACTTCGCAACAAACAAACACAAGGCCAATTGAAGATGGCTACGTACTCAAGGAAAATTAAAGAGGGGTACGTTGAGAACTTGAGAATAGTATAAGCCTATATTTATACTAGTTTTGGTGTAGGCTTATTTTCTTTCCCAAAAACAAAGGAAGTCCCAAATAGGCTAATCCTACAAAGAATGGGACAAAAAAGGACAAAAAAGCTTTTCAAACCATAAAAGGAATTTAGCTTTAGAGAGAAAGGGAGTAAACAAACAGTAAGATATGTAATATGAGTATTTAGAGATTTAGAGGCCGTTTATGCTTACTCTTTTGATGTTGCATTCCCTTTCTATGCCACTACTTTTTATTCTCTTTTTCTTCCCTTCTCAGTTCTGGGCTAAAGAGTGAACATGAAGAAATACTCAAAAGTTATTGATCAATAATATTTCATGGATGCTTTTCCACACACGGGAGGAAATTGGCATTGAACATGTTGGTGTTAATCAGTGAAAGATTTCTTAATTGAAAATATGATCAGTTTTTTGTTAACATGGATGTAGTACTTAATGGGAAAAAATATAGCATGTTTTCAAGATTTCCCAAGTTTCCCTATATGATCGTAATATATGATTTTAATTTATAGATGATTCATATATAAGATTTTTGTATAAGTTGTTAGGGGTAGGCAGATTTGGATAGTGTTAGAACCTAGCTCCACATCTTCTACAATTGCACAGAGAAATACTAACAGAACAACAATATCATTTCATTAACTCCCTTCCTTCTCTTACAATGTACTATTATACTCATGCTCAACTCTAACTGTCACCACAAGATGATGCCACCTGGCATCCTAACAATACCCCCCCCCTTAAAACCAATCTTACAAGTAAGATTTACAATTTCGAAGTAAGTACAATTGAAAACCAGCAATAAAACTAAAACAACAACATCACAGAATGTATTAAAGGTTCACAATTTCTGGAACTTAAGCTTCAGTTCATGGTATAGCTCCCCAATAGCATCATTCCTGAAATGGTTCTGCCATTGGACTCACTTCACTAGCAATCAGCATTGCTTCTCTAGCGTAGCAGAGTAGCTCACTGCCTTGACTCCACATTACACCCTCCAAAAAAGATGAGCAATGGTATTGACCAAATCATTTGATCAACATAAGCGTATTGCTTGTTATGGATATGACTGCAAACCAAAAGATCCATGAACATTACTTTCAAATGTTAGTTTCTTCTGCCTATAAAACATATGAACCGGATAATCCTCCCTAACATATGGGGACTATTTCTTCCCTGATTCGATAGCAAGATGCTTCAAAAAAACCAATTTAAGTTTTCCAGGTCCTTCTATGATTGCATCAGTTGCTCGGTACTGAGCACCAAAAACATGTCTCCCAATACATGTTGGCATTGTCCAATCTGGAACAAGAAGGATAACATTTCTGCAGATAAAAGGTTCTCCAAAAACAGTACCATTTAAATTGTTCCGTATGGTCCCATTTGGACTCCTCCACATCTGTTTCAAGTTGAACTCCTTAACACGAGTTTCATCTGGAGTTATAGTTGCACACTTTATTGCGACATTGTACCAGAATTTTGAGCCACCACCCTTATCCCGAATGCCCTTGCAGTAGTCACGATTGAGAACAACACAGCAAGCAACACAGCAACCATTTCCAAATCCGGAGAGAGTGAACTTTCTTTCATGTTTTCTATTCGTGTCCATACGAGCTTCTAAATGATGCAATCTCAAATTACCAGCATACTCCCCATCAATGAGCATGGAATAATCAAAACTCACCTCACATTTGATCACCTTGGAACAATCAGAACCCATAACACAATCTTGATTCTTGGACTTCGAAGGGAAGAGCCTCTGACTAATTGTTCCACCCTTGTCACGAATTCCCTTGCAGTAGTAGCCCATGGAACGATTGATATCAACACAAAAACCTAAGTCCTTGCAGCTTGCCAGTAAATCTATTGACTCAAAACTGGAGAGAAAATTAGTACCACCTTTATCACGAATGCTCATAAGGTACCCAAGCTTATTATCAAGAATGTAACCTGAATACGACATTTTGTCGAACAGGTAGAGTGCACGCGAACCAGGCAATTTAGCTTTCTTGAACTCAACATTAGAAACATGAATTCCTAAAATGAAAACTTGGGATTTGCCATTCTTACCATCAGATTCAAGAACAGTCGCTGATTTCGAATGAAAGAGCCTTTGAATATTTGTTCCGCCTTTGTCACGAGTGAATTCATGGAAGCCAAGCGTCAAAGAAGCAATGTCGAACGTTTGATCACAGAGCAAGGAGTCGTCACCTAACTTGCCCAACAATTTCGAAGCAACAAGTTCGAGAACAGACAGAGAAGAAGGCAATTCATCTTTCTTCTCTAACAAATCTGAAATAGGAAACCCAGAAACCAAATCCCTTGCCGTGTCCTTCTTGCAAGCAAAATAAGGAAATGGAGGACTTTTCACAGAATTGGCAACTTGCTTGTCGAGTAAATCGAAAACCTGTTCATTCTTCCTAGCCAACTCACTTCGAAAGAACCCAAAACTTTCTTGAAATTTGGAACGGGAATGAAATATTGCAGAACCATCTGCGTGGTATTTGGCATAGTCGCGAACCCTCTTGAATTTCTTCAATGTTGGACGTAAACAAGGAGGACTTTTTGGCTTGTATTTTGGACGGTACTGAGACAAGAATTCATCTACTTTCTCACGGGCTTGAATCTTTTCGTTGTGGAAGGATTGAAGCTTGAGAACAATTTCATCCGATTTCACAACAGAGATATGAGACGCCATTTTGAAGAATGGTTGCCTCGAATTCGATATTGAATCGTGACCCTTAGCCATGAGGGACCGCAATTGAAGAAGAATCAAGTCGTGAGACTTCTTGAATTCGTCGAACTGGGCTGCCAGATTGGAAACCCTCGATTCCATGGTTTTTGCAAAATGTTTGCGGCGTTATACAACGGAGAAGGATTGAGAGGATCAACGCTGGCTGATACCAATGTTAGAACCTAGCTCCACATCTTCTACAATTGCACAGAGAAATACTAACAGAACAACAATATCATTTCATTAACTCCCTTCCTTCTCTTACAATGTACTATTTATACTCATGCTCAACTCTAACTGTCACCACAAGATGATACCACCTGGCATCCTAACAGATAGGTTTCGCACCTCAATTGGTAACCATACTCATTATATTATATAATGAATAACTTTTGTTTCGTTTTAAATTAAACCATGGTCGAAACCAAACTAAACCAATTCATTGTCTTGTGGTTTGGTTCAGCCGGTTTAAAATATGAAACGGATGTTCGGTTGTGAGTTTTAGAGGACCAAAACTATGGTTGAACGAAGCAAATTTGGTTCAATTTTGAGAGCAATACCGAATCAAACTGCCCATTACAATTTGAATTGGTCAGTTTGACGTCCACTTCCACTTAACACGACGAAAAATATAAATAAACCAGAAAAGAATAATGAAAGAAAGAACTTCCTCTTTATTACTTTGTATTATACATATTCCGTCAAATATAGTCATGTACATTGTCAAAGCTAATTTAACAGTTTTACAGCTTACGCAACTTTTCCAAGGGAACACGGCATCATGTACTTATCACTACAAGATGATTAAATAATGAATTAAATGTTGTAGAATATAAATCTAATTAACGATGGATTTGGACCACCGGGTGGAGCAGGACCCCTCTGCAGTATTTGCCTGATAATTCTATCCTCCATAGGGAAGTGCTTATGCAAAACATCCTACTCCATCTTCATCAACTTCTCTTTCCCATGATACAACACTCTGCAGGCCTCATTCGACTGCACGTTCACAAGAAAAACCACCATCATGGCCACCAAAAGCATATTCAAAAACTTCATGTTGTTCCTTGTTTGGCAAACAATAATTTTGCTTCCCCTCTCAAGCTGTATGTACTAATGCAAACGAAAGATGGAAATTGGAATTAGTGAAATGAAATGAATAGTAAGTCGGGGATATTTATAAGGCCAGCCAGCTCTTCTTTCATATATATATCGGGATAGGATCAAGGGACAAATATTTTTACAAATATTATCACACTTCTTTGTAGCGTTTGGATTTTATAACATTCAAAGGTTCTTATTTATTCATTAAATGACATGGATGCTTACGTGGATTTTAATTAATATTAATATTAAAAGTAAAGTTAAAACTGAAAAAAAACTTTCTTTCTTCGATTCCCTGTTTTTTGCTTCTGGGTTTTTGTTTGTATGTTCTGAAAACTTAGACAATGGGATTGGAAACAGGGGATTTTTTGTTTTCGTGATTGGGTTTTCTGTGTGGGTTTCGAAAGTTTCGAACTTGGTTGCATTGATTTTGGAAGTTAATACTGTTGTGCTAGTTTTAGTTGACTGGGAACGTTGCTTTTAGGTGCAATGGAAGCAAGTAATAGAGCGGTATCGAATTTGTTTCCGTTTTGTTCCGGACTCGGGTGTGGTTTTGGAAAGTTTCGATCTTGGTTGGATTTTGTTAAGTTAGATATTGTGTTAGTTTTAGTTGATTAAGAGCTGTGATTTTAAGTGCAAATGGCAGCAAGTAAAAGAGCGAGTCTCAAGATATCGATGCTTTGATTTATATTTTTGGGTTAATCTCTGTATACTACCTTGAAGTTTCGTGATTTTCAACATTTAGTACATGAAGTTTTTTTCATCCCAGAGCAATACCTCAAGTCTTAATTTTGGGACAGTTTCATACATCCGTTAAGTTTTCCGTTAGAACTTCTGTTAACTAATGACGTGGCGTCCACATGAACAATAATTGAGCACCACGTGTCAATATGGGTCCACTTCAATATTAAAAAATTAAAAAAATACAAAAAACAAAAAAAAACCCATTCATCCATCTTCCCCGATCCCTCCCACTTCCCATCCCTCTTCACCTCTTTCTCTCCAAGCACAGTCGATTGGAGCCCTAATCTCTCACTTTCACCAAGGCTCACCGCGATTCCCTAACCTTTCTGGTTATCCATGTCCTCCGAATCAGGAGCTTCAACCTCCAGCGGTGAAGCCTCTGAGCCAAACCCTAACCCTGACCATACTCCCAAACCCCTAGAAAACCAATTGGCAGCCCTCGCATTATCTGAGGTCGATAGCCACGGGAATGGCATCGCACATGGATCGGCCACGGAAAACAATCACCAGGAGATCGAGAATGATGAGGAGCAAGTCCAGGCCAATTTGGTTACTCCTGGTTTAGTTGAGGTGGAGGAGGCGAGCGAGGGTTCACCACATGGCAGAGTTGGTGGTGGTGTTGTTTGGGCGATGACCAATTCAAAGCTGGAGATTGATGGGTTGTCAAGCCCTAGCAGCAATGGGTATGCTGATGACAAGTTAACTGAAAAAGCTATATCTGGTCTAGTACATTGTGCTAAATACAATAAAGCACCTATTGCACTCAAATATGGTACTTCTGGACCAAGGACCATTTCACCATTTTCTTTTGGACGGAAAGGATCTTTCTTAATGTCCAAAGAACGAACGATCATTGGCTTGCTGAGTGGATAAGCCTTGTCCATGCCAAATCGTTTCAGAATTTTTTCAATGTAAGCTGATTAGTGGACCAAAATTCCATTAGCACAATGCTCGATCTGCAAGCCGAGACAATATTTTGTTTTCCCAAGGTCTTTCATTTCGAATTCACTTTTCAGATATTCAGCAGTTTTATTAAGCTCTTCTGGAGTTCCAACTAGGTTCATATCATCAACATATATTGCCACTATAGCAAATCCAGAATTGGATTTCTTAATGAACACACAAGGGAAAATGACATTATTGATTTATCATTCTTTGATCAAATATTCACTGAGACGATTATACCACATTCGTCCAGATTGTTTCAGCCCATACGATGGTCGCTTTAATTTGATCAATAACATACCTCGTGGTTTTTTAGTTGTTTCAGGCAACTTAAGTCTTTTTGGGACCTTCATGTATATGTTAGTATCTAATTCTCCATATAGATACGCAGTGATGACATCCATAAGTCGCATGTCAAGCTTTTATGAAACCACTAAACTTATTAAGTAACAGAACGTAATTGCGTACATTACAGGAGAATATGTCTCTTCATAATCAATTCCAGGTCTTTGTGAAAAGCCTTGTGCAACGAGTCGTGCTTTGTATCTTGCAAACTCGTTTTTCTCATTGCGTTTTCTTGTGAATACCCAATTGTAACCCATGGGATTTACATCGGGCGGAGTTTGGACTACCGGTCCAAAAACATTTCGCCTTTCCAAGGAATTTAATTCTGCCTGGATTGCATCTTTCCACTTAGGCCAATCTTATCTCTATTTACATTCATCAACAGAGCGGGACTCAATATCATCACTTAATATGATTTCAGTGGCTACTGCAAATGCGAACATATCATTAATGATTATTTCATTTTGATCCCATAATTCATTAGTACATGCATAATTTATGGAAATTTCTTTGCTCTCATGTACTGCTGTCTCTTCAGGGACATGTGTCTCATCAAGGACATTTTCTTTTTCTAGAAGTCCAGAATCATGAATTGTGAATTTGTCATTCATTCTCTCTTCCTGAATGATTTCATTTGGATTCAGATGTGCCCTTGTCTTTCTCTTTCGAGGGTTGAATCTTTTGAACCTGGGGGTCTACCACGCTTCAGGCGTGCACCAGATGAATCATTCGCTGCCATTTTATTTTATCCAACAGGGACATCAATTCTTGCAGGTGCATTTGCAGCTAGTATATGTGATTTTGTCGCTTTCATAGCATCATTAAATGCATCTGGCATTTGATTGGTAATACTTTGAAGATGAACGATCCTTTTTACTTCATTTTCACATTGAGTGCTACGTGGATCAAAATGATACAAGGTGGGGTACAACCCATGTCAGCTTTTGCCGTTCTTCTGGAACGGTCTTTTCTCCCCCTAACGACGGGAAGACTGTCTCATCAAAGTGATAATTAGCAAAACGAGCTGTAAATATATCACCTGTCAGGGGTTCCAAATATCTAATGATAGATGGTGAATCAAAACCCACATAAATTCCCAGTCTACTCTGAGGTCCCATTTTAGTGCGTTGCAGCGGTACAATAGGCACATAAACGGCATAACCAAAAACTCATAAATGCGAAAGGTTGATGCCCTAACACGAGTTGTACTGAGGAGTATTGGCTATAGGTCTCAATCAAACCAATGATGCAGCATGTAAGATGGCATGTCCTCATGCAAAAACTGGCAATTTTGTTTTCATGAGCAGAATGCGAGCTATTAACTGAAGCCGCTTGATCAATGCTTCTGCTAAACCATTTTGAGTATGGATATGAGGAACAGGGTGTTCAACATCAATGCCCAATGTCATGCAGTAATCATCAAAGGTTTGAGATGTAAATTCACCAGCGTTATTCAGTTAGATTGACTTAATGGGGTAATCTGGGAACTGTGCTCGTAACTTAATTATATGAGCAAGAAGTCTCGCAAAAACTACATTTCGAGTAGACAAGAGACAAACATGTGACCATCTGGTAGATGCATCAACCAAAACCATAAAATATCGAAATGGTCCACAAGATGGTTGAATAGGTCCACAAATATCCCCTTAAATTCTTTACAAAAATGATGGGGATTCAGCATCAACCTTTAGTTGTGATGGTCTAATTACCAACTTCCCTTGAGAACAAGCTTTGCAAGGGTTATCATTTGAGATAGCAATGTTTCTGCTCAATAATGGATGTCCATTAGAGTTGGTAATGATCATACGCATCATGATGGATCCTGGATGACTCAAACGGTCATGCCAAAGCATGTAAACTTTTGAATCAATGAACTTCTAGTTCATGACAGTATGTGATTCAATTGTTCTTATGTATGTATAATACAATCCACTCAACAAACCACGCAACTTCTCCAATATATGCTTATGGGTATCATTGGAGGTAATGCATAGATACTCCACATTTTCTGCAATTTTCATTTCAATGTGTTATCCATTTAAACGTATGTCTTTGAAACTCAACAAATTTCAAGTAGATCGAGTAGCATACAATGCATTATGTATAGACAATATTGTTCCATTTGGTAACATAATCTGGGTTTTCCCTAAGCCTTCAATTACATCTGATTTGCTTGATATTGTTGTTACCCTTACTCTTGTAAGCATCAAGCTTAAGAAATACTTTCGATCACGAAGTATTGTATGTGTGGTTGCGCTATCTGCAAGACAAATATCTCCGCCATTTCTCATGTTCTGAGAATAACCATAGTTTTTATCCATGCTTTCTGAGTAAAAAGGATCACGGTTAAAAACAACTTATAATAGGAAATTTAAATACCACTTTTATTGAATTGAAATGCTAGTTTTAAACTACAAGTTCAGAATAATAAAAGTACATCAAACATAAATGATTCAGTCGAACCGATGCACTTCATTCCCCCTTTCCACAATGAAATCCGAGACATCTAGGGGGTTGTGTTCAAATGTCCAGATAAGTCGCACACTGAATCAGGTATATCCATTGGTATAGTTTGGTTGAAGAAATTAGTCTCGACACCCTTCTCCTTGAGAGAGGCTTGATATAGATCCACCAGATGTTTTGGGATACAACAGGTACACGCCCAATGCCCATCGCCACCACACCTATGGCAGGCTCCATTAGAGTTTCTAGGAGCATTGTTCATATGAGCTTTGCCTTTGTGGCGATTTCCATTTTTAAAGCTCGGGCCTGAATTTTGCTTTGGAACCTGGTTGTGAGACTGATCATCATGGTTCTTGCCTTTACTGTTCCACCGACCTTGCTTGTGGCCACGTCCTCATTTATGATTATCACCACCAGATGATGTGGCGTTCACTTCGAGGGAAGCATCATTCACTTTTGGGAATGGTGCAGATCCAGTAGGTCGGGACTGATAATTTTTCATTAGGAGCTCATTGTTTTGTTCAGCTACCAAGAGCACAGATAGCAGCTAGTTGTATTCAGTAAAGCCTCGCACTCTATACTGCTGCTGCATGAGCACGTTAGAGGCATGAAATGTGCTGAAAGTTTTTTCCAGCATATCTTCCTCAGTAATGATATCCCTACAGAGCTTCATCTGAGAGGTAATTCTGAACAACGCAGAATTGTACTCAACCACTGACTTGAAATCCTAGATCCTTAGGTAAGTCCACTCATAGCGAGTTTTTGGAAGAATCACCGTTGTCTGGTGATTGTATCTATTTCTCAAGGCCTTTGAGAGAGCTAACAGATCTTCAACCATTAAGTATTCACTCTTTAGTCCCTCGTCAAGATGGCGACGAATAAAGATTATGGCCTTCGCCCGATCTTAAGAGGATGAGTTGTTCTCTTCCCTAATGGTATCTCCATGATTCCCTGCTTCTAGATGGATCTTGGTATCCAGTACCCAGGTAAGGTAATTCTTCCCAGTAATGTCCATGGCAGCAAAATCAAGTTTTGCCAAGTTCGCCATTTTCTTTTCTGAAAGAAAAATGAGATGTGTAAAAACTTGCAATAATATGTATTCCTGGAGGAATATAGCGTTAGAACTTCTAGTTCTTAGATATTTTTCATTTTGATCTTCGGGCCAAAAATGATAAGCACTCAAAACTTCAGGCTCGAGATTTTCATGATTAATGAGAAGAGCGATTGTACCGCACCATTCTCATCGAAACAATCATAAGATGAGCGATTATTCCGCACCACTTAAACAGCAGGAAAATTTAAATACGCAGAGCAGGGTAGGCAATTATACCACACCACCTAAAATTGCAATGAAATTAAACAGCATGCAAATTTAAATATGCAGGGTAGGGTGGGCGATTATACCGCTCCACCTAAAATTTGCAGTAAAATTAGATCTGCAGTCCAAGATAGGCGATGATACCGCACCATCTTGGATTGCAGTAAGATTAAATTTCCAGTTCAAGATGGGTGATTATACCACATCATCTTGGATTGCAGTAAAATATAAATAAACACTGGGTTAATAATCAATAGCTACACCAAACAAGAAATCAAAGATATATGTAACTGTTAGGTTGAGAACTAAAAGCAGGCATGGTGCAAACAGTTCTTCGCAAGGGTATGTCCAGCAGTTGAGGTAGAGGAAGAAGATGAATAGTAAAATCCTTAGAGGAAATTTTTTTTCTTTCTTTCTTTCGGTGAAGGTAGATGGAAACTATTTAAGGTTAGAGAGTCGTGCTGATAACGTGTTATAAATAGGCAAAAGTTAGAGAGATAACCTTTTTAAGGGCATGAGCGAAGCAGGTGCAAAATATCACACTATAACTTTAGTAACTATAATACAAAAATGATGGCAGATAAAGAGAGGGAAAGATACTAATATTATTTCTCTTGCTTTCTTTCGTAGTGTATTTGATAATAGACGAAGTGCTCTATTTATAGAGTGACTCCCGTAATTACAACCATTAAAATATAATGATGATACTTTTGAAAGTATCAAACACTATTACTCACTATTATTAAGTCTTTACAATTTTGAGTGGACATTTATTATTCATCCACTAATTCTATAACAATTTCTATACTAAAAGTAAAACCCAAACTCAGATGCACTGTTCACGGACAGTGCGCGGGCGAAAATGCCCCCAATTGGTCTTCAACCTTTTTTACTCCCATAGTAAAATGGCGGTTTTGTCCTCCTAGCCCACGCTTCTCTCATCCGTGTGCCATTAGGTTCGATCTTCTTTTTCTGTTCCTCGCTTGGCACGCGTCCATCATCGCTGCCGTTTCTGTTTCGGTTCTCTGCTTTTTCTTTCTTTGCTTTCCTTTTCTCTTCTCTCTCTCTCGCCCTCTTCTCAGTGTTTTGCAAGCATTTCTCCCTTTCTCTTTGTCACCATGGTCTCCATCACTCTCAAACCTTCGTTTCTATCCCTGTCAAATCTTGGCTCGCTGGAAAAGTCTAAATCAATTTAAGCTTCTTCAGCTTTTTGATTTGGATTGAAGATGATTTTAAGCCAAAAAGGTTACGTTTTCTGGTAAGTTCTTTGAAACCTACATCTCAGAGTTTGTTTTTTCTTTTTTTTTTTCAAATCTATGGGTTTTGTTTTCTTCAATTTTAAAATATTAAAAACTGAATCTTTTATTTTTGGGTAATATTTTTCAATTAGATTATGCTATGGGTTCTGATGAGGCATGGAATTGGGTTTGAGAGTTTTGATTTAATGAGAGAGATAAGGAGTATACACGGAGAGAGGGAGGTAGGTCATTTGCAGAAATGGAGATTAGGGTGAGAGAAAAACGGGAGAGAAGGGATAGCAGATTAAATTTTGATTTTATAATTTTGGGGGGGTTTGTGTTTTAAATTTTGTGTTTGTAATTTTGGGGTTTTGTGTGTGCGCTTGGATATGATTTAGGTATCAATTTCAGGAAATGGTGGTGTTGCAATTTTGGGGCTTTCGTATGCAACCTTGGAACCACTTTGTGCTCAAGGTGTATAAAGGCTATGAAACCTCATTGTACCTTATCTTTAGTCGATAGGAATTTTGTTGGTTTTTCGATTTTATCTGGGTCCCTTTTTTTACCTCCAAGGTCTACATTTGCTTATGAGTTTTTTTACTTTCTTAGTATGGCCTTTAAATTTTTTTTGGTAGTTTTTGTAGATATAGCCTACAAATGTTGACCTGAAGTTTGGACATAATCATTACTTCCTATTACAATTTATAACGTTAATTCAATTAACTAAAGTTGATTGGAATTTGACGATGATCGAGATATTTGTATTCAGATGGGATTTGTGTATGAATTTTGTTTTTGTAATTTTGGGTATTGTTTATATAGTTAGAATCGTTGTCCGGGCGTATGATTTGCTTCTGTTTTTCGTTTCAGGACTCGTTACTCTTCGTTTCTTGGGGCTTTTGTGTGAAGCTTTCGAAGCGCTTTGTGCTCAAGGTAAATAATTATGGTTTTTTCCTTTGAGGCTTTTGTGGAACATTTTTTTTTTTTGGGGGTAATATTGTGATAGTTTTATTTAGTATATTGTGAAAGTTGATTGTTTGAGAAACTGAGTAACTATGTATTTGTTTGTAGTTATGGTACGAGACGTGATATAAATCGAACAGGGTGAGATAAGGTATTTAGGTATCACAACAATTGGTCGTGAAAAACTATTAACAAACTACATTTGAAACATTCATTCGTTTATATTATATATGGTGGTTCCAAGCTTGGGTTCTTTTTTCATGCAGCCTTCTGCTAACCAAAACGGGTCTATTCAGTTTTGGTAATGCTGCAAATGGACAAATCACATCAGAGTGCTCTGCTACCCCTTTGTTATCTAATTTCATGGATTCATCTATGTGCTATCTTCATAACTATTATGTCTGCTGCCTATTACTATGGAGGTAAAACTTATGGGTGAACTATTTGCTTTAGATTGGTTTATTTATGGATTATCAGAATCTTCTTTAAATTCATGTATATTTTTTATATCAAAATTCATGTGTGTGATATGAATGGTTTTGTGAATTTCTTTTAGGCTATGATGAGACTAGCAACGGCTGGGATGACTACTTGAGATATGTAAATCCTGAGGGAGTAGAAATGATTTTGTAAGTACCTGAGATGGGTTCTGGGTATATTTTTAGATTATGAAATTTAATTTTAATTGATTTTCTAGGAAAAATGGGAGACTATGAGTGAGTATATTAAAAGGCTGAAACTTTGCATAAAGTGGTTTCAAGAGCTTGAGGAAAGCTACTTATTAGAGCGTGAGAAGTTAGAGAATGATTCTGGGGTTATTGAATTCAGAATTTTGATTTAGAGTTTTTTTTTGGTTTTTTATTATATTGGAGTTAAATTCCGTTTTTTGTTTGGGCATTCAATGGCATGCATGCTTAATTTCATTGATTGGTAAATATGTTTTGTATTCCTACAATATTTTGTAAAAACTTTGGCATCCAACAACGTTGTCCTTCTTGGCTAGCATTCTTGATTGTATTTTTTTGGTTAGTTTTATGTGCTTATGGTGATTATTATATGCTTTTAACTGGTTAACTTTGGGTTTGAATCTATAAACCCTTTGGCCGGTTATTTTGGGTTTGATTTAAGAGTATTATTAGATGGTTAAGCATTTGACCAAATGTTTACTTGATTGAAAGATATGCTATATGAAAGTCTGTATTTTTTCCATGTTTCATCAATACAGATAATGCAGGAGTGGAAGGGATTGGGAGACAAATAAGTGTGCAACTGAGGAGGAAGATGAAGGAAGCAGTAAAATTCAGTTGGATCCTAAATGAACTCTTAAAGAATATATGGTAGGTTGAAAGTTTAGATATCAGAAGTTTGGATGAATTGAATCCTCCAGTTTTTTTTATATAGTTCAGTAATATTTTAGATAAATGAATTAAAAATATGGTGTGTATAAAACCTACGCAAAATATTTATAACACATATGGTCCATTAGTTAACACTTATATGCAATACATATAATCCATTTGATATTCCCGCAACAATGGAATGTCAAAATATAATCACTAGTACAAAAAACACTTCACGCGAAAGTACAAAAAACACTTTGAACGACGTAGGTCATTCGTCGTGCAAAGTCAAAAAACGTCGCGTAAAAATTAGCCCAAAGAACCTTTGTCGTGCACCAATCGTCGTGTCAAGGTAATGACAAAAGGGTTTGCATGATGAAAAAGTGACCTCTGTTGCGCAAAGTAGTTTGGGCAACGTGGGTCGCTTCTTTGTCGTGCAAACCTATGTTTTTTATTTGCGAAAAAAAAAATTTATTTAATTTTTAATAAATACTATAATTAAATTATAAATAATAATTAATAAACCAAGAAAAAGTATTGAATTATAAAATATATGAAAATGTATATACAAGATGTCCAAATATAAAAGAAAAAACTACAATAAGTAGTCTTTTAGGCTCGATGCATCAGGCTACTAAGTATTGGCTGGGCGAAGTGGTTGGGAGGTCAAAGGTGGAGCAAGATCAGATGCTGACATTGGGATTTGGAGGCCAGACATCTGTAAGGCCTGTAAGATCATACTCATCTGCTCGTCCTGGGCCGAAAACTAGGTTGCAATCTCGCTTCCTGAGCTACTGCTTCCTGGGCCGAAAACTGGAATTACAACCCAATTCAAAAGAATTAGGGTTTAACTCCATGACCATGTCCATTTTCGCTTTTGGGAAACAACCCACTAACTAAGCAATCTAATTAAAATTTGAATTCCGATATCAAAAGTTAAACTACAAATGCGCAACATGACCATAGAATCCAAGGGAGAAACTGCTGAGAAAGAAATAAAGCCTTATGTCTATCTCCGGTATTGTAACCCCTAGCTTAGCAGACAAATTTTTCTTTAACACATTAAACTTGGGAGCCAAGTCATTTGCAACAGGGCCACCATACCAAATTCATTAAACCTACATATACAGATGTGTCATCAACACAAAGGAAAATGATATTGTTTTAATTTTTAAACACATCAAAGTGCAACGAAATTTTTGACAATCTCAACAATAAGCCTAGCAAAGTCGTGCATAATTCTTGCAATATAGCATACAAACGGATACACAGCAAGGCTGTAAATAATATGTAAAAGTTAAAACAATAGCAAAACCAACGGGTAAAACACCCAAAGATACTGAAACTTAACAATATCAGGGCAGAAAACTCATGCGAGGAGGCTAACTTAATATCAACATTGAAGACACCGAAATACCAGATTATCCAGCTTGTCAAGAAGGCTAACAATCTTTTAAACCTCCTCTGTAGCATTGAGACCAGGATCCTTTAAAGCAGCATCTTCAAATCCAGAAAGGGCCCTTTCATAGTTTTCCAGATATCTGTTTACCTAAAACCAGAAACTTAATCTTATAATTGTACAAAACATGAGATATTGAGCAGTACTAAGGACCCAATCGGGTGGCAGAATGTCTTTCTAAGACTCATGCAACTTATGTCACTTCATACATCCTCCTCTTTACTTAACAAAAACAGAAAATAATATATAATTTATCATTACTGTTTCCTATTCTCTCTACTTGTATTAGTACAACTCTATCTTTAACCTATCTAGACGCTGACTCAGAAAAGAAAGATTGACGAATCATCATCTACTTGAGAAACTTATGAGTACTAATTCCAGACAAAACACAAGAAAAACTGAGCTTACAGTGGCACAGTTAAAAAATATAGGTCTGGATTGGACTGCATTCTTTCATCCTTTTCGTGATACGCAACGTAAAACATTAGAACATCTTCTAACTGACAGAAGATCCATACTTACAAGAAATACAGCACATAGACAACTGACTCTGACTCTGCAGTAGTTCTTACTTTAAGCACTTATTGCATTTTGGTATGCCTTCAAAGATTGCAGAAGTTTGGAATGGTCCCAAGCTCCAGTCACAAAGAATCTTGTAAGACATGCATTTCCAAGATTGTCTGCCAATAAAGTTATAAAAATTCAGTTAAATAGAATAAGCAATGATCTCCAAAAAATAACCAAAGAAATGAAACTAGGGATTAAGTGAATCAGTAGAAAATATTTATGCATGTACAAGATACCAGTCAAACTATGCTAACTGGAAGAAGGCTAGCAAACATCCAGGGTAAATGGCAAAGCAAACTAAATGTTACATGCTATACAACTTATCAAGTATAAATCTTACTCAAATCCGAAGAATATAGAACTTTTTGAGATGGTTGATTATGAGATCTTACACCATGAATTGCCATCCTTGACATCAAGAGTTATGGCTTCCTTGGCATGTTGAATGCTTTTGTCCTGCCTCATTGACGGTACCTAGAAAAATGATGAAAATTAGGTAAGCATAATGACGCAAACATCATGAAAAACAACAGGAAAAACAAGTTGAGCGACAAAACGGTTGCCTTGAACCATTTTTCTTTCAAGCATCGAAAGTTGACAGAGTATTTGCCTTTTTGGACCCTGCCTCCAAACGCAACGCACGTCTCAATCATAAAACTTATAGTACAATGAATCGAGAGGTCACTGCAATAAAACTACAAAAATCTAATCAAGAATAACCTTGCTTAGGGCAAGATTAAAGCAGTTCTTGGCTGAAGATAGATCTCCCTTCTTCCAAATGCGGTTACCTAAACATAGCCAAGCATCTGAAAGAGATGGATTCAACTTAACCTGCATCGTCGTTTAATCTATTTCAGGAAGTGAACTGAAAGAATTACAAACATGCTCAACTACAGGAAGTCACAATGCATTCTTACAGCTTTTGATAGATGATCCTCTACTTCTTTTCTATAATTCGGTAAAACATCTAGTATCTTTCCTCTCAGATATTCGTATTTCGCATGTTAAGCCGGATGTTTTCTTTGCTCTGGTAAAAGACACAGTGTTTGAAACTTGAACTAATAAGATACAAATACAAATGCAACATAATAACAAAGGAATTAGCAGTGACAGCGATTCGAGAACACAATGTAGGCATTATCGTTACAGAAACAACACTTTTATCGGGGGAGATTTTGAATTCATCAACTTTTTAGTCTATTCTCAAATTTTAAGCTTCTATGTGTACCAATGTAGTCCAAAATCAAAATTGGAACTTCAAAGTTGAAACGAGCATATCAACGAAAACCCACAAAAGAGAAAGGCACAATCGGGTTTATAATAAAAGGGCACTTAGGTCAGCTTCAAATGGAATCAACAGAGATTAAAACGAAATGGGTAAATGGAAAAATTACCAAGAGGTATGGAATCGAGGAGGTTGAGGGCAAGATCGGAATCGGCGTTTAATCTGGAGATTTTGTCATCCGGGTCGGCTGGAAAGTAGGTGTCTCAGAGGAGGTAAAGAGCTTCGGCAGCTCTTGCGGCTTTGGCCAGTGCGTCGTCTTCCACTGCTCGACTACTCATCGCTCAGACATAGTCGCACGTAGAGCCAACTGTGAGAACGAGAAAGGACTCTCAACTCCAAGTTGTTCTTCGGAGGAAACCGAAGCAAACGACGTCGTCTGGGTGAGGAGAGGGGAGATTGTGAGCTTGTGCTATGGAAAAAAAGCAGGAGAAGCACTCGGCTCTAAGCGTGAGCGAGACAGGGTAAGAGAGAGGGCGAGATGAGCGAGAGGGGAGAGAGACCGAGTGAGCCGGAGGGAAGAGATAGATTTGTGGGTAGCGTCTGGACTCTTTTCCAATTAAACCCTAAAAAAAGGCCTATGTTTTTTCAATTAAACCGCCAAACTTTTAACAATTGTGCGACGTAGTCATAAATATGGTTTAAAATATCCATAATATCCCGATATTTTCATTGAAATTTTCGTGTTTTTTGGACTACTGATATTTTTTTGGACTATCGATATTTCCGATATCATCGATATTTTAGACCTTGCTAAGTCACTCATGTATCTTATCATTCAATGTATAAAGTGTAAAATATTATACTAATTTATTATATACAAATGATTATGGTGTGTTTAAACTTCTTTCATTAATTACTACATATTTTCTACACTCACAATGTTTGCCAGCTCGCTATATAATCAACTTAAATCAATTATATGCATCATGCAATGCATTTCCTTCCAATTTTTTTGTGATAAACTAATAGATAATTGACTAAATAAACATCCTGCAAAGTTTCAATAAAAATTTCCAAGTTTTTCTTACAATTTCCGTGGTTTTTATTCAATTTTAATCGATATCGATAATATTCCGATATTTCCATCGAAATTTCCGTGTTCTTGAACTACCGATATTTCCGATATCATCGACATTTTATACTTTGGTTATAAATTATGACGTCGCGCAGAGTACTTTTGCGCAACATTTATATTAAGACATCGTGCAAGGTATTTTAAATAAAAAATATTATTTTATATAAATATATGCCATTGAATTTGTTTGTATATGCTTCAAGATCGTAAATACAAAAAATCATAAAAAACAAACATTCAGAGATCAAGTAATAAGACAAAACTTTTCAATGGTTATAAACGAAAAATCACGATTTAAAGATTATTTTAACTCCGATTTTGATTATTTTTTATAGCTACACTCCTTGATCCTATATGAATACGATGAATGAATTCGATCTTCAATTTAAAATATTTACACTAGTGGATTATGTTATACTTAATGAAAGTATAAATAAACTCTTTAGTTTTAGTGAATCTATCATTTTAATGGGATACGCATCCTACGAAACTAATTTCAACGAGTCAACCGTCACACTTATTTTTATATGCTTCGGGATCGCATACGCCAAAAATCGCGAAACAAATATTCAGAGATCAAGTAACAAACAAAACTTTTCGACGGTTATAAACGAAAAATCACGATTTAACGGTTATTTTAACTCCGATTTTGATGATTTTTTACAACTACACTCCTTGACCCTATATGAATACAATAAATGAATTTGATCTTCAATTTAAAATATTTACACTAGTGGATACAAAAAAATCTTAAGTTATACTTAATGAAATTATAAATAAACTCATAAGTGTTAGTGAATCTATTGTTTTGATAAGATACGCATTCTACAAAACTAGTTTCAACGATCCAACTGTCAAACATGTTTGTATATATTTCGAGATCCCATACGCCAAAAATCGCAAGAGACAAACATTTAGAGATCAAGTAACGGGACAAAACTTTTCGACGGTCATAAACGAAAAATCACGATTTAATGATCATTTTAACTCTGATTTTGATGATTTTTTACAGCTACACTCCTTGACCCTATATGAATATGAATGAATTCGATATCCAATTTAAAATATTTACACTAGTGGATACCACAAAATCTTATGTTATACTTAATGAAAGTACAAATAAACTCTTAAGTGTTAGTGAATCTATTGTTTTGGTGGGATACGCATTCTACAAAACTAGTTTTAACGATCCAACCATCAAACATGTTTGTATATACTTCAAGATCGCATACGCAAAAAATTGCAAAAAAAAAAAAACATTCAGAGATCAAGTATCGAGACAAAACCTTTCGACGGTCATAAACGAAAAATCACGATATAACGATTACTTTAACTCCGATTTTGATGATTTTTTATAGCTACTCTCATTGGCCCTATATGAATACAATGAATGAATTTGATCTTCAATTTAAAATATTTACAGTAGTGGACACCACAAAAAAGACTTTGCGCGACGCAGGTCCTACGTCGCACAAACCCTTTTTTTTTTTGGTAAAATATTTTTTATTTAATTTTTAATAAATATTGTAATTAAATTCTAAACAATAATTAATAAACCAAGGAAAAGTATTTAATTATAAAATATATAAAAATGTATAAGCAAGATATCCGATCAAAAAAAGAAAAAACTACAAGTCTTCTAGGTTTAATACATTATGCTACTGGGTATCAGTTGGGCGAAGTGGCTGGGAATTCGAAAGTGGAGCAAGATCAGGTGCTGGCATCAGGATTTGGAGGCCGAACATCGCTAAGGCTCGTACAATCAGGTGGATACCACAAAATCTTATGTTATACTTAATGAAAGTATAAATAAACTCCAAGTGTTAGTGAATCTATTGTTTTGATGACATATGCATTGTATGAAAACTAGTTTCAACGCTCCAACCGTCAAACTTGTTTGTATATACTTCAAGATCGCATACGCCAAAAATTGTAAAAAACAAACATTTAGAAATCAAATAACAGGACAAAATTTTTCGACGATCATAAACGAAAAATCACGATTTAACAATTATTTTAACTCTGATTTTGATAATTTTTTAAAGCTACACTCCTTGACCCTATTTGAATACAATGAATGAATTCGATCTTCAATTTAAAATATTTATATTAGTGAATGCCACAAAATCTTATGTTATACTTAATGAAAGTATAAATAAACTCTTAAGTGTTAGTGAATCTATTGTTTTGATGGGATACGCAATCTACGAAACTAGTTTTGACGATCCAACCGTTAAACATGTTTGTATATATTTCGATATCGCATACGCCAAAAATTGCAAAAAATAAACATTCAGAGATCAAGTAACTGGATAAAACTTTTCGACAGTCATAAATGAAAAATCACGATTTAACGATTATTTTAACTTCGATTTTGATGATTTTTATAGTTACACTCCTTGACCCTACATGAATACAATGAATGACTTTGATCTTCAATCTAAAATACTTACAGTGGTGGATACCACAAAAAAGACTTTGCGCAACGTAGGTCCTACGTCGCACAAAGTGGTTTTGCGCGACGTAGGTCACTTCTTCGTCACGCAAACCCTTTTTTTTCTTTTTTTGGCAAACTTTTTTTATTTAATTTTTAATAAATATTGTAATTAAATTCTAAACAATAATTAATAAACCAAGAAAAAGTAACTATAAAATATATGAAAATGTACATACAAGATGTCCGAACAAAACAAAAAAAACTACAAGTATTCTAGGTTTAATACATCATGCTATTGGGTATTGATTGGGCAAAGTGGTCGGGAAGTCTAAGGTGGAGCAAGATCAGGTGCTAGCATCAGGATTTGGAGGCCGAACATCGCTAAGGCCTGTACAATTAAATGGATACCACAAAATCTTATGTTACACTTAATGAAAGTATAAATAAACTCTTAAGTGTTAGTGAACCTATTGTTTTGATGGGATACGCAATCTACGAAACTAGTTTTAACGATCCAACCGTCAAACATGTTTGTATATATTTCGAGATCGCATACGCCAAAAATCGCAAAAAACAAATATTCAGAGATCAAGTAACTGAACAAAACTTTTCAACAGTCATAAATGAAAAATCACGATTTAACGATTATTTTAACTCCGATTTTGATGATTTTTTACAGTTACACTCCTTGACCCTACATGAATACAATGAATGAATTTGATCTGCAATCTAAAATACTTACAGTAGTGGATACCACAAAAAAGACTTTGCGCAACGTAGGTCCTACGTCGCGCAAAGTGGTTTTGCGCGACGTAGGTCACTTCTTCGTCACGCAAACCCTTTTTTTTCTTTTTTTGGCAATTTTTTTAATTTAATTTTTAATAAATATTGTAATTAAATTCTAAACAATAATTAATAAACCAAGAAAAAGTAACTATAAAATATATGAAAATGTACATACAAGATGTCCGAACAAAACAGAAAAAACTACAAGTATTCTAGGTTTAATACATCATGCTATTGGGTATTGATTGGGCAAAGTGGTTGGGAAGTCGAAGGTGGAGCAAGATCAGGTGCTAGCATCATGATTTGGAGGCCGAACATCGCTAAGGCCCGTACAATTAAATGGATACCACAAAATCTTATGTTACACTTAATGAAAGTATAAATAAACTCCAATTATTAGTGAATCTATTGTTTTGATGGCATACGCATTGTATGAAACTAGTTTCAACGATTCAACCGTCAAACTTGTTTGTATATACTTCGAGATTGCATATGCCAAAAATCGCAAAAAACAAACATTCAGAGATCAAGTAACAAGACAAAACTTTTCGACGATTATAAACGAAAAATCACGATTTAACAGTAATTTTAACTCTGATTTTGATGATTTTTTACAGCTACACTCCTTGACCTTATATGAATACAATGAATGAACTCGATCGTCAATTTAAAATATTTACACTAGTGGATACCACAAAATCTTATGTTATACTTAATGGAAAGTATAAATAAACTTTAAGTGTTAGTGAATTTATCGTTTTGATGGGATACGCATCATACGAAACTAATTTCAATAATCCAACCGTCAAATTGAATCCGTTACTTATATGAATTGCCAAATAATACGGCAATTTGAATTTGGTAATTCAACAAATTCTAAATAAATTTTTAAACTTCATTCGACACGTTTGCAGTCAGTATGGAGATAGAATTTTGCCACGACTCAATGGAGCCACCAACTACAAGACAATACAATCCAACAGGTTTTGCAAAAGCCAGTATTAATACATAAAGAAGAGAAGATCAGAACATGGCAAAAAATTAGGTCCTCCTCGGACAAATAAATGCTTCAAATTCAACGAAGAATAACCTTATGACACAGGTTGTTTATGAAAGAAGCAAGATATAGCGAAACAATTCAAATTACATATTTTCATAAGAGTTGCCTTGTGATGTTTAAGACCACCATGGTGCTTCCCCGGTTCTGAAATCGGTTTCAACCCATGGAACAAACACCTTCCCGTCATCAATATCGGCATGAGCCAACGCCAGAGACTGTTCCAATAAGTAAAATTTCAAAGATTGGTTATTTCAGAAAGGAGGTAAAGAAACAGCCTTTTATCGTACGTATTATGCAGCATTTCACATAAGAACTAGCAAGAGTCAATAAAAGTCTAAATGAACTTACCAAAGGAGCAGGTCCTCTGACAACCCTTCCTTGGTCATTGTACGGATCCATGGCAGGGGCATAAGAACTTGTTCTCCGCCTTGTTAAATGGCACGACACAACCAAGTTAATTTAATACCACAACAACCATAGCAAACAATCCAAGTTAATTTAATACCTTCTAATAATATACATCCCAAATTTCTCAATTCGATTTTCAGAATGGTTGATCACAACAAAAAGTATCATTAGCTCATAATCCCATAATGCTGCTGATTGTATTGGAAGTCAGACTTGAACATGTCATACAAATTGAAATGAGGATATGATAATCTAAGATATTGAGCTTCATCAGTGACATGTATCTGTACCTTCAATCCTTGTGTGAGGGTCCTGTCACCAGGGCCATGAGTCTTAAGCCATTCAGCTGCAATCACGTCGTTTCCGAGAGCATCCTTAGCAACTTGACCACCAGAGCCGGAACCAGAGCTGTAATGTTTTTCCAATCAATCGTAGCCATATCAAAGAGCTATGGATAAATTATTTTTACCCACTAAAAGTTATTTCCCACTCGGTTAGAAGAATAATTAGTTAATTTTCTTCTTCTTCTTTTAAATGGAGGTCCGTTAAAGCATACTAGTTAAAGCATTTTGTTTCGGTTCAGCATTATATCATTGACATCAGAAAATTCTTTATCTGCAGTTCCTGAAGCCATTAATCTCTCCTTCCTAGCCCATCAATCCCTCTCTCTCCTCAACCCTTACACAAACATATAGGTATCAAGCTGTCTATTAAGCACACATTGGAAACAGAAGAATATTGATACAAGGAAAGACATACCCCCTTCTTGCAAATGATGTTAACTCTGAGCATTCCTCCAAGGAATTCAAGCCATGAATAAGAAAATGAGACAATGCATATAATTTCTATGTAGAGAAGAAGAATTTGAGGGGAGCAGATAACAACGTACTTCCAGCATTGTTTTGAATTCATCCCGTGGCTTTTCTGTTTGACTCTGCCTCTCCTCAGCCTCCTGCTTTTTCCTTTACAGCTCAACCGTATAATGTAAATCAAGGAAATTTCAAAGGGAAACCAACATTTCTTACAATTTCTTCCGTGTAAATATATAAGTTAACCCCGATAAAGTATTCAAATGCTAATTCCAAATGAAGCACAAACAAGTCTTCAACAATATATCTACACTCTCACTCCTTTTAATAGGTAAAATTAATAAAGATTACTTCAAAATTCAATCTCACAAAACTCCACCATTACCAAAAAAGGGCATAGCAAGTAGGCAAAGGTATATATACACAAAAATCCCATATGCAATATGAAGAAAATACCTTCAAATTCGTTCTTCAATGATATTTGTATACAAAAATCCTGTACAAAACAAATTTAGCAGTTTTAGTTTGAATTCTCAATTCAAAGTCACATATACAAAATCAAATCGCTTACTGGATAGGAATAGATCGAGGAAGGGAGAGGATTGGAGAAGTTTTTGAAGAGAGATGGGGGAGGGAGGTAGCTGCTACAACTAGTTTTGCAGTTTCTGCCTCGCAAAGTTTCGTTGCGCAAAGACCGTTGCATGACGAAATGTGTTCCGTCGCGCAACCATGTTTTTTTACTAGTGAATCCTAAAATAAAATATAAGGAAGCTTAGCATAAACATATGATTAATGCTATCTGTAAATGATAATCCAAATGTATGTGTTTTGCTTTCGTTATATGTTATATAATGTAGTGTTAAATTAGAGTCGATTATTGGAATTTATGTATTTTAATTTGAACGGTAGCAGTGTATGTTCGAAATAAGCAAAACAAATTATGAAAAGCAAACTAACCAAACAGGCAAAAAATAAAGGGAACTTTAACGAAAAGCATCCGGTACTGTTCACTTTAACGAAAAACCACATTTTTACACTAAAAAGTCAATCCTGGTACTATTCACTTTACCATTTATTTTGTCCTTATCATTAAAACTCAAAGTTTTCAAGCCCTTTTCATTAGTTTTCCTAAAAATAAAAATAAAATTCTAAAATGTTGTCAAATTTGATTTAAAGCCAGCATCTCCCCCATATTCAGCTAACCTATTTAGGAAAAACGATAAAGAAGGCCATTGGGAATGAAAAGTTGTTTTCAGTTTAGCATGATTATCACTTATTATATAAACATATAAGCATATAAGGAAAGCAAATCTCAAATGGTCAGGTTTTTGCTCCAAATGTTAACAATATTTGTTTCATTTGTAGTCTATAAGCATTTTTTAGGTTTTTCTTCTGATAAAGTATTGGTTTTGCAGTAAAAGCGGCAAACCTCTGCTCCCAGCTTCACTTCCACGTTCTCACCATTCATACCCACTCTGCCCATTTCTTTCTAAATTTATCTTTGCACTCACTGGAAAAGACAGAGTTTTGTTTTTGTTTCCTCAAAATATAGATTAGATGCTTTGCATGTCTATGTTCTCTGCAGGAAGCTCAAAGGATGATAAACAAGAAAAGGAAATCACAGATTGCAAATAAGATGGACAAAAAAAGCAATAGAAATTCATAGGGTCCCAAATCCGTGACATAAAAGGTATGAAATTGTTAATTGATAATTGAACATAAATGTAGAACTGATTGCTATAAATAGGTATGGTCACTTTTGTATCACATTCTTAATTAAGATGATTATGCAGTCCCTTTGTAATTTTGTGTATCTATTAGCTTTGTACTTACTTACACCTCAAAATTTTCATTTTCTTTCAAACAATCTTGATCAGCAATATCTGCAGGATTGCAATGAGATAATTGTGAGCAACATGTATAATGGGTTACCTTTGTTGTTTAGCATGTTATTTTTCTTCGGTAACATGCATCTAAAACTCTTTGTGCATAAGAAGATATCTCATTACAATCACCTCAATCCAACAAAACTTTTATCACTCTTAAAACATTATCTGAACTCTCAGCTCAAGTAAGTCCTTAGTTTCAATATACTTTTTATTTCTTACTGGCTAGGTGGTTTACATAGTTTTTAACCATTAAATCACGTAACTTTATATTTACAATTATATTCTTTCTAATTGTTTGTATAAATTTCTATTTTGCTCCCTGCAAGATGATGTCATGGCGTGGTTTAGTGGTGTTGAATATAATTGGAGAAACTGATTTTTTAATCTACTCATGCTGTAGGATTTCAAGATTGAAACCCACTTTCAATCTTTTGGAACAAATTCACTTTGTAAAGTAACAAAACAATGATATTCCTAAAGGAAATAAAGTTGTTTGCTTTGTTGAGGTAGTTGTGTTTAGATTAATCAATGCTATAATGCATTTTGAAACCTAAGTTATGGATCTATTAGTTTCAATTTAAACGCATCTGGAAACTTAGAGATACATTTATAAGCTCACATTTATATATTGTTGGAAAGTTAGAGATCTGCTGATGATACTAGATTTAATTATAGTAGTTTTCAAACATAATTACCTATACAATTTCTAATCTTGCAGCAATTCACGGGCATCACTTTCTATTATGGACAAGGATTGTCTGCCCTTCCACTTCCGGTGCCCTCCCGTGCCCTTCTGTTTGTGTGGACACGGTTAAAACCACGTCAACATTTTATATTACTATTCATTTTTGTCTTATTATCTCTATAAAAAAAACAATATAAAATATTAACGTGGCTTAACCGTGACCACACAAAATAGGAGGGCATAGGAGGGCATCGGAAGTGGAAGGTAGACAATCCTTGTCCTTCTATTATATAGTAAAAGAGAAACACAACTAAAACACTGTTCATTTGACAGTGTTATTCCTTTTTTGCCGCTTTATTGTTTCTTTAACCTACATTGTACTCCCGCTTTTGCCCCTGCTTTAGTCTTTGGTCTCTTATTCCATTTCTGGTTTTTTCCTTCCCACAGAGTTTTAGCACCTCTACTAGGCCTGGCATTTTGGACCCAACCCGTTAACCCTACCCGACCCAACCCGTTAATATTTGTATTTGGGTGGATGCTTAACGGGTCGGGACGCTAACGAGTGAACCCGTTAACAACCCGTTAAATAACGGGTCACTTTGGGTCAACCCGTTAGACCCGTTAGGACCCGTTAACACCGTTAGCATCCGTTAGTTGAGGATATTTTAGTAATTTTAGTAAAGTCTTAATAACAAAAAATAAACTTTATGCAAAAAAAAAAATAATAATAATTGTTAACGGATGAAACGGGTGACCCGTTAGCTTAACGGGTTGGGTTCGGGTGACCCGTTAACTTAACGGATCGGATTGAACCAGACCCAAACCCAATAAACCCGACTCGTTTACATGTCTAACCTTGACCCATCTTTTCTCTAGATGCTTCCCCCACTGTTTCAGACTCTCGACCCACATTTTCTCTGCCTGGCTCCTGCTCTCCCCGTCTCCCTCCTCACCTCATCTCCCAACTTATTTTCGATTTATACTTTAATCTCATATGAATCTCCTTGGTCTCAAAGGTGTCCTCTCATCTGAACCCAGAAAAGCTTTAGCCTTCCGATGACTTTGGTTGCCATAATCAATCTTGGTCGTTGGCCGACAACCAGACTGCAACATCGTCTTGACTCACTCCAGCATCAACAGATTCCAACTTCAAACCCTCTTCGACCCTTTTTGCCAAAATCGTTCTCACCGATTTGTCAACAGGTAAGATCCTGGAGTTTTTATTTGGCATCCTAGACCTCATCTCTTTTGCCATTGTTCCTCAAAACTTTCATATCGGTACATCAACTTAACTCTCATTTATTTCAACAGCTCAACTCTCTTTCTATTTCAAACCTAAAGATTGATTATTTTTCTTTTTTCTCTGTTTTTATTTTCCTCGGAAAAACACAATCTTTGTCGAAAAAGTTTGAATTTGCCCATCCCTGAGATTTTCTTTGTGGGTTTTGGTTATCGGGTTGCGAATTTAAAAGGGTTTTGTCTTTGGAAGGAGATGGATATCGGTGGCGATGATCGATGTTCGTTGTTGTGTGGATGATCCCAGTGGAGCTTTGGTTTTCAGCTTTGGTGATTTCTACGTGAATTTTGGGGATTTGGTTTGGGTTTCTAGGTAAGGAACTGTCACTCTATTCAACTTAATTTTAGTTCACTTTTTTTTTCCTCAAATTTGTTTGATGGCATGATTGTTTGATCCTTTACTAAATAGTCATCAAGAAATGTTGGAATTTTAGTAGTTTTGATTTCTTTTCAATTTTTATTTTATTTTATTTCAAGCCTTGAGTTTTGTAAGAACCGTCTACCCTGTGCATACACTAGATACTCCTAACATTTCAAATAAAGTACTAGTGAGTTCTATAACTTTACTAATATTTATTTGCAATGCAAGTTAAATTGTTGGTTTTCTGTTTGTCAATGCGTTAGCTTTTCTACTCTCTACCTTGCATTAGAGGTTGCCATGTCAGGTGAGTTCAAGTTCTACTTAGTACACAAGGGTTGTTTTAAGCTAAGTCTCTAATTTGTGTGCTCTTCATCATGTCTTTTATTTTGGTGGCAGTTAGGTGTCATTAATATGAAGTGTGAACTGGTTGATCCAGATGGTCTACTAAAGCAGCTAAGGGTATTGGAATCGGTTAATGTAGATGGCATTTATGATTGATTGCTGGTGGGGAATAGTAGAGGGACATGCTCCACAGAAGTATAATTGGAATGGATACAATAGGCTCTTTCAGATGGTGTGTGAGCTTAGTCTAAAGTGACATGTCTGTTTTATATAAATTCGTTTTTTCAATTGCAGAAGCTTTTTCCTCTCATTGGGCATATAAACAACATGTGTGGTTAATTGTTTTGTCATCTTTGTGGTCATTTTTATTCTTTCTATGCGTGTTTTTGCTAGCAATTTAATAACTGATTGTAGAAACTTTTGTCCTCGTATGTTGATGCTTCTTAATAGTGGTGGTGCCGTGCATGTTCTTGGTTAAATTAATCGAGTACATCCGTAATTTGGAATAGTTCTTTTCTAAATTACGGAGAACCGCCGAGCTCACTTCCAGCCAGATTCCGTCAATTTAGGAGAGTTGGTGATGTTATTTAATATCTTAGGTAAATGATTCAATTCCTTATTTTTGTTGTTTAAATTAGTTCATATGAATATTGATTTCGATTCAACTTTGAATTATATCTTGGATAAGCAGCAAGTATATATTTGTAATGAGTACTAATTAATTACATATTGCTGCTCACCGATTTGCTAAATTGATTCAAGCGTTTAAATTTTTTTATTAATTAAATTAGAAATAAGTATTCATGGCCTTCATTTACTTGAATCATAGTCTCCAAGGAGAAGAAAGACAATAGGAACAAGGCACGACATGGAACAAGCAAACTCATGAGAATGTTAGCGTTCAAGTGATTCGGGAAGAGGGTGACAGATCATTTGAAAAAAATCAGGTATACTGTTGTTCCTCTTCGAATTACATGAACATGGTTGTACATACATCCAATATTATTAATACAACGAATCAAACAATTAAACTTTGACCTAGAAATATTAGTTAATTAAGCCGGTTGGCAACTGTGTGCAGTGCATATATAATACGTGCAGTCCATTATTTGATTAAGTATTTGAAAAAAGTTTATTGTATTGATTGTACTTGAATGGTGATCAGGGTTCTCAAGGTGAACAGGAATCCCATAATCGATCTCAAGGCCTCATGCGAGGGGAGGACATGAGTCGGGATCAGGGCAGGGAGGAGAGTTGGTGACCATCAATGTTCCATTGAAGCTCTGGAGGCAGAGCACCCAATAGTCGATTTCAACTTCCAAATGAACATGAAGTCGTCTTCTCAAGTCAACATCTTTGCATTGCAATAGTATACTTGATATATGTGTGTACATAATTGCAAGATTTTTTTCTTTCTTTCGCTGTGCTAAATTTTCCAGTAGATCCAATCATCAGGTGTAAAGTCTTGAATGTGATGTTTTTATTAGCCGTACTGGGTTTTTTGGAATTTGATTGGTTAATTGTGTCCAAGAATTTTTGACGTTTTATTGGGCTTTTAGTTCTTGGTTATTCCTTTTGAGCGATTTAAATTTTTGTTACCCTTATGCCAATTTATGATGCTAATATGATTTTTGTAGAGAACTAAACTTAATTTCAACAGGTTTTATAGAAAGGAGTAATTTATAAGTGTCGGACTTGAGTTCCTTTTGCACAATGTGGTTAGATCAGGTTGTATTTACTTTGACCATCTCTGCTTTATTATGCGCTTGCGTCTGTTGTGCTGCAAATGAACATTAGCATACCTCAACCACAAAAATTATGCTTTTGCAATTGATATATAGATCTTTGTACAAAATTCTCATATTGATGGTTCATTGATCTCTTTGTAATGACCATATATTAACAATGTGTTCTGGAGAACTAAACGTTGAACCACAAATAGTCAATATATAAGTATTATATAATCAATAAACAATCAATATATACGAGGATACTATCTTATCATGCTTGAAAAATTAGTGTCTAATTCGAAAAACAGAGGATCAATTTTTTTCTTTTGAGCAAAGCCCATCTACTAAAATGTCTAGATTTCTCAATTGATTGAAGGAAACATATGGTAAACACTCTATACTTAAGGCCAAATACATTTTTGAATCACTTTACTCTTCAAGGATGCAATGAAAGATGATGTGAGGACTTGCGATGATGGAGTTGTATAGCAATTTTGTTGCATATATAGGGATGAGCAACTAGGGATGTGAGATCACATACTAGTGTACTCGGGTCAATTTTTTGAAAAGTTGATTGATCAACCATTCTAATGAATCTATTGTATAAAGCTTGCTACAATATTTTGGATAATAAGTGTTTCATAATGTACATGGAAAAATATGGATTAGCCACTTTACATTATTTTGGTTGTAGCATACCAGGTTATGTGTGCCCAAATGCATATAAGATTTTCTACATTTACACAGATATTTATATTTTGTGATCTCCAAAAACACTTTGGATGACTTATAGATTTTGCTCTAGATGTAAATATATTTCAATATATTTCATACGTATAACATAGTTTTACAACCCACGGCATCGTGCGGGCTCAAATGCTAGTATTTTCTAAATAATATTACATCTTTTTGAAAAGATTTTTTGTAACATAGCACCATCATGCTTGTATATATGAAGGGGTTCTCCTTCATTCACACACAATGCCTAAACGCAAACCTCTACACAGACGAACACACACCTACACAGAACCAACTTTCCATAGTTTTCTAGCATCCTTTGCAAACACTCGTTCTTTGTAAACTTCCATCCTTTGTAAATTTTTATATATCAATAAAAGAGTAAGTCTACATATTCAAGCAATTTCTCCTGTCTTAACTAAGTTTCCTTTCTTTCTTTTAATATGTTTGTTTAAATAGACTTCCAATCTAAAACAGGAAACACACTATTGTAGGTATATTATTATCTTGCTAAACTGATGATCATGTGAGCACTATTTTATAGTTGAATGCTTGTCAGACAAATAATTGGACATTAACTAGGATACCAATGAGTTCTCAGTACCTCTGAGTTTAGTCCTTGTGATCTTATACTTGCATTGTAAGTAGCCATCATGTTGAAACATGTCGAGTTCTATATGTAAGGTTTTATATCTAGTTGTTACAATGATCATCCGACTATTTAACCGGGCCTCCGGGCCTTACTCCGAAATTAGTATCAGAGCCAAGTTTAATATTTAAGCCAAGTTTAATATTTAAATAATATAATTATAGTAAAGCATCTTGATGACAAAAGTCATCAACACAACTCATATCACACACTTGTTTATTTTGAATGAACATTGTATATTATTGTCTTTGTAGACTTTTTCAACCATAACCATCAAGAATTTGTTGTCCTAGACATCCTATTATAACTAGCATGAAGAGAAGATTAGCATATATTTATAAAAAAAAATCAATAAAGACATGAAGAAGCAAATGTTTTAATTTAGTTATATTGAACACCCCACTCTTACCAGTAAGGATAAAGAAGTACATAAAAAAAGAGCAACTAATTATACTTTATAGTCACTGAGAGAAGAAAGAGAGTTTTTCAGAACCATTAGCGATAACTTTAGAGAATGGTAGTCTGTAGTTTATGACAGATTACCTTAATTTAGAAACTAGTAAATAACAAAATAGAAAAATCACCCTAAACCAAAATAGTTTAGTTTGTTATTTTCCATTAGACGATCATAATCATATTTTACATAGTGAAGAAAAAACAAATAGTATCGTAGATCTTTTTATTAGTCAAGCAGAACATATAAAATTAGAAAATATTATGCATGATAATTTATTAAACCAGTTATTAGACTATTAAAAAAAAAACTGTTAGACAAAATATAAATCACATTACAGCCCAACTAGAAGATAATAATAAAAATATTTAGAGACTTCCTAGCAAGAGAGAGATAAAAAAGCTCATTGATACCATAAATAGTAAGCCCATGCAACTAGAAAGTAGGTCACTAGAAATAGTTGAGCAATTAAAATTAGAAGTTCAAAAGTTCAATTAGTACAAAAAGATTTCACTAAGCAAATAGTAAAGTTACATAATAAAATAGATAGATCATTTATTTAATGGCCGATTCTTGAATTAATAGAATATATATCCAAGTTTTGAAGGAATTAGATATTAAATAAGGAACGAGTTGATTTAATTGATTTTTCATTACAAGTAGCTAGTAGTAATATTTCAATTAGACCAAATAATTTAATCATCCAATTAGTTTTAAATTTAGCTGAAAAATTAGATCAAGTCGAAAGAACAAATAGCATAAATTAATCAAGTTTTGCATAACACATCTTTATCATTGCCACCACCTTTATTACAAAATTAGAAAATTTAACTTTGAGCACAAATAATCATATTAGAATACCTAAGATTAATCCTTTTGATAATAAAAAATAGAACACATTAGGAGAATAGAGATAGAAATTAGCAGAAGATTACTTAGCAGTTTGGAAGGAAATTTGTATAAGTTTTATTAGAAGATTACATGCATATGCACAAGGAAGAAGCTAGGAACATTGACACACCCAGACACGAATTGTCCACTTGGACTCCAAATCAAGATGTGCTGGCCGACACTCAAAAGGTGACGAAACCATAAAAGTGTAGTGAGATGGAAAATGTGAGTAAATTTAAACCTAAAAGTGCATAAATGAAAGAGTGCGCTAGTGAGCAAGAATAAACTCATTTCACACGTGATATTAGAGCATAAGTAAAGTACAGTAAAGGTAGGATAAGAATTATATCATTGAAGGTAATCGCCTATACTAAGACTTGCCAAGAATCCTTATCGACACGAAAGCTCTTCTACTAAAACCTAGAGGGGCAAAAAATAAGGGTGAGTGGGCTTACAAATAAAACTTTGTAAAAATATTTTTGAAAATGTAATAACCCCTCACTGTAAAACAAGTATAGTTTCCAAACATAACATACTATGTATAGTATGAAAATACTTATCGTAGCCAGCAATATCTCAATAGTGCAATATGTCACGACATTTCGTAAATTAACACATAACGTCCAGTAATCACATAATTTCGTATAAACAAACATTTCATATCAAGTGCTCATCGACATATGTTGGCACATGAGTTCATGCAAAGATATTATGACATAAATAGAACTGGATGTAATAGTGATTTACGCTCTAGTACTACAATCACTTGAAGACTGGGGCTATGCGCATCACATACGAGTCCTAATTGCCTATAGCAATATAGGACATAGCTGGCACTTACAATGGATCTAAAGTGAGCGTACTGTGCAATGTGAACATACACATAAAAGACTGGCAATGGCACTGGCCTCGGCCCCAGGCAAGTACTAACACCAATATAACACACGATAAGCAGATAACGTAAATATGATCATGCCACGATAATTCGATAATTCTAATCAATGCAATGATATTCATGACCGTAACTCCAATTAAGGCATCAATAACAACACGCATACTTATGCATCCCGTATGATGTTGCATAATTTCATAAATTCAATTAATATGCCAATTCTTATAAACATTAATCTAATCAAAGCATACGTGGAAAGTTCTTTATCAAATATATAAATGGAAACTAAATAAATATGTAATATTTAAAAACAAAGACCCACTCACAAATCATGTCGTTGGGTCGAACCCACCTCGCGGGCATTGAAGCTCCTTATGATACGTTGCACTGAGAAACGAAACCATTTACGTAAATATATAACATACTAACGTATATACACCTTTTCGTACTAAGTATGGTAAATAAAGAAACTATGTTAAAATGGTCGAGTTTCGAAAAATGGACAGCATATTTGGGTTTGGCACATCGAGAAACCTAAGGAGGGACCTCGAAAAAAGTTCATCCCTAAAATATGCAGTTCCGAGCCCAAGTCCTTCACTTATTAGCTCCAAAACTTCCACAACTACTTTTCTAACTTGTGCAGAACATGTCCCAACAAGATCTCTGGAATCCATATCATCGATAATTAATCTTTGTAGATATGAAAATATATATGTCAAATATATGCAACAAAAAAGAGAATTGAGTTTTTAGAACATGAATCTATATATATTTGGTACCTATATCTACTAGGCTGTTGGGGCCACTGCTGCATACATTCCTCTAGAGGATGGAAAGGGTGTCGTAGGTAATCACGCCACAAATAAACATCTTCCAAATCGAAATATCCACTGCTGGCTGAGAGCCTGCAACCTTTTTTTCGGGTCGTAAGATTAGAGGTTTGCCTTGTCTTCTGCAGGCAAGTCAAAGAACTCCTTGAACACACCCATCGTGTCGTTCAACAAACTTTCTGATATGCCATGGTTGACAACCTGATTTGTAAATAACATTAATTGGATGTCGCATAACATAGTAATTGAAAATTTGAAGCAGTGGTTACTCGATGATCAAGGAAGAGTATTTGAAGTCTCAAAACATTACTTGAAAAAAACCCAAATTCCTGGCTAGCCTTGAGTATTTTCTAGATTATATAGGTTTGATCACCGCCCAGATCAA